GGGACTCGATCCAGGGACTCCAGGATCATGACCTGAGCTGAAGGCAGTCGCCCAACCAACTGAGCCACCCAGGCGCCCCAGAACTAACTTCTTATAGCAGAAGGAAGTAGACAATATTAGTCATTTACAACAAGGATTCGAGACTCATGTGTCCTTTAGAGATTTATGCTTTAGCCCATGTTAGACCAGTCTGAACACAGAAGTTTGAACTCTTGAAATGCTAAATTTCTTGGGTGCTGTAGAGTTTTGCTCCCAAGAGCAGATTCTCTAATTCCGTGTTGACTTACATGCTTTCCAAGGGCAATGATGTTTTTACCCTGTTTGGCAGTTTATGGAAACATTGAATTTGTGTTGGATTTATTGCACTTTAATGTGGCAAGCTGGAAATACAATGTGAAAATGGCTTACCACTTGAATCTTCATAATCATGAGGCTCAGAGCCTGACAGAGAGACAGAAAAGCTCTAATTCCTTCAGGTTGAGGATTGCTTGACTTACTTGTTGAGGCTGGATGTGGGACCTGTGCTGAAGCTTCAGTCGCCTCATGGTGACGCAGGGATGATAATGGTGGTTCTACCCACATCACATAAGGCTCAAGTATGATGGTATGAAAACACTTTAAGAAATACCATACATGGCTTGGTAGGAAATTATCAGTATCATTCCATCACAAAGACCAAATTGTTCTGATCCCTACCTCACATCCTAGCATAGTGGTCCTAAAAGGAGCAAGAGGATGTGAGTACCTAAAAGCTAAAAATATTCCTTGTTATTCTTATTTAATAGCTCATATTCATAATTCCACCTTCGTGTCTTTTGCCAGTTCTCCATACCATGGTGGTGGTACAGTGTTCTGAGCACCCTCACGTAGCGTTAGGTTACGAGTGAAGAGTGATCCTTCTTGGAGTTGGGGAGACCAAGAGCACATGCATGGCCTCATTCAGATGTTAGTTTAGTCCACTTAGTTCTTGGAGAAGCCACACTCAAGTCTGAGCCATGCCTGGCTGCCAACTAGAAGCTTTCAGATGGGTTATCCAGCTCATTTGTAATACTTGGATACATTCTTTTCCAAAACAAATTCAGCCATACTCAAAGTACAATCTGCTAGATATGTAGAAAGCCCTGGTTCCTGACAATTTTGTGAAGCAGAATTAAGAAACCTCCCTTCTATCCCTTTGTCAGCAACCCACCACAACTGTGACAGTTATCCTTCCTCTATCTCTTCTCTTGACTTTTTTTCTCTCATTTTTTCCTCCAGGTTGGCTCACTACTGCCGACTCCGGGACGTCCAGACATTGGCCATGCTCTGCAGCGTGTTTGAAGCCCAGTCTCGGCCCCAGGGAATACCAAACCCCTTCGGACCCTTTCCCGGCCGGTCCTCTAACCTTGTGGTGTCCCACAGCCGATACGTAAGCCTGCGGCCTTGTGTGTTGTGTTTGACTTCTCCTAAAGGGAAGCGTGTTCTGACTCTGCTCCTGTTTGTCCTGCAGCCCAGCTTTACTTCCTCGGGCTCCTGCTCAAGCATGTCAGACCCAGGGCTCAACACTGGTGGCTGGAACATAGGTTGGTATGGTGCTGACTTGGCCACGCTGGATTTCTGGTACTCTAAAAACTGTGAATTGTCACTGTGTCAGCTTCAGTTAATAGATGCACTCTATACTTACCTTGCTTCTCATTTCTCTCCAAATTTAATATGATGGGGATGCTGTAGTTAGCAAGGCCTGGACTTGAACAGGCCAGTTTCTGGTATGTCTTTGTGCCTGGCTGGGTTGCTTTTCAACTCGTAACCTTGAGAGACTGACAGTGGGACTTCAGTGTTTACCCGGTAAACCCAACCCTCATTCTTTCTCCCTCACATGCCCCCCGCCCCACCCCAGTCATCTGCTACTTCTTGTTAGCTGTTGCGTCCCACATACTTCTTTTCAATGTGGAGAAATAAAGATCAGCCTGATTCCAGCTGGCCATAAAGGTCTATTTAACGAATAAGTGTACTTGTGGTTTCCGGATTTTTGAAATTTCTTTTTAAAAATCATCTTAATTTTCTTTTTTTTTCTTAGAATTTATTCTTATTTTATATAGAACTTGAGTGAGCTTGGTGATTTAGTTTTCCAGTCTATAGAATAGAAGCTACACATGTAGAGACTTTGAGGTAGGAGGTGATGCCTGTTAGAGGGGCAGGCAAAGAAGTCGTAGTTACAGTAGTTTGATAGGAAGAGTTACAAAGTATTAAGAAAAAAAAGAAGACCCAAACAAAAAACAGAAGTTTGTGGCCAGTAAGTACAGTGTCAAATAATTTTCTGAGAGAATATCACTGTCTTGCCAACAATGATTCTGTGTCATGCAGAAAAACATTTTAACAGTACCATTTGCACAAGAAGTCAGGAAAATTCATTTTATTATATTCAAAATAATTTTAAAACTATGAAACTTTAAAATGTTTTGAAATTTTAAAATGTTTCAACAAAATGAAGTTTCTCTTTCCTGGAAAACCCATTTAGGGGAATGGGGTGGGAAAGACAGAAATCTTGTTCCTTTAATTTAAAGGTTATAAGAGTAATTACATGGGGGCACCTGGGTGGCCCCCGTTGGTTAAGTGTCCAACTCTTCGTTTTAGCTCAGGTCATGATCTCAGGGTTGTGAGATTGAGCCCTGCATCGGGTTCCACACTTAGCAGGGAGTCTGTTAGCGATTCTCTCCCTCTCTCTGCCTCTCTGCCCTGTACGTGTATGTGTGTGTACATGTATATTCTCTCTCTCTCTCTCAAATAAATAAATCTTTAAAAAAAAGTAATACATGCCCAGTATTACAAAAAGCATTATAGAAGAAAATAATCATCACTGAACCTCCACCTAGAAGTAATGTCTATTAACATTCCAAAACATTTTCCCCAATCTGTGTGTGTGTGTGTGTGTGTGTGTGTGTGTGTGAAGGGTCATTCTATATATATGATTTTGTGTTCTGTTTTTAATTTTATCATGAACATTTTCTCACGTCATTTAAAAAGTCTTTATCAAAAATGACTGCTTTATCTAATATTTTATATCACTGTACCATAATTTGCTGCTTAATCATTATGTGTGTACTTAGTTATCAGGTTACCTTAACAGTAAATATCTAAATAAAAAGGTAAGGCTAGGAAAGAGTTCTGCTTAGTTATATTTCTCAGCATCTTCAGCTTAGCTTATTTTTCTTCCAGTGACTAAATTGAGCACACCCTGCATTATGAGAGTTTTCAGACACTTTCCAAGCCTTCTCTAATTTCCCTCTTCCCTTCCCATTTGATTTGCTTCAGCGGGAAGAGAGTCAGAACATGTCTCCTCACCTTGGGGAGAGTCTTCTCCAGAAGAAATCCGCTTTGGGAGTCTTACCTACAGTGATCCCCGTGAGCGAGAACGTGATCAGCATGATAAAAATAAAAGGTAACAACCTTCCCCGGTGAGAGCTGCAATTTTCATAACGCTTAGATTCCCCAAAGTCAAGACTCTTGCTGTAAGAAAGCTATGTTAAGTTCATTTGGTATTGAGCTTGGTTTTTTTAAAGGAACTGACAGGAAATCTTTTGAGTTTTATCCAGGCTTCTGGACCCCGCCAATACCCAGCAATTTGATGACTTTAAGAAATGCTATGGAGAAATCCTCTATCGCTGGGGTCTGAGAGAGAAACGAGCTGAGGTGCTGAAGTTTGTCTCCTGTCCTCCTGATCCTCACAAAGGGATTGGTGAATACGAATTTCTTTCTTTTCCTGTCACTATCTGAAAGGTCCTATCATTTATTTTGTCCCTGAATGTAAGACTTGGAGTGAAGTCTTTTAGCTTCTCACTTAGAGGCAGAAATTTCTGAAGCATTTTGAGTCTGTTCTCACCTTCCGAAAATCCTTGTATTTCATGACAAGAGTACATTTCTCTTCTAAGTGGAAGTCGTTTTATATACGGTATTCAGATACTGATTTGAAGGAGGGGTACTCATTCATATATTCAGCTAAGACGTACCGAGCTCCTGTGAGGCAGAGTACTAGCACATTCCTTCCCCTCATGGAACTCACAGACTAGTGGGGGAGGAAAATTAAATAACCGTAGGTTGTGATCAACGATGTTGGCGCAGGGAGAGCAGGAAGGGAGCATTCCAGGTGATGTCTGGCCGTGTACGGGGAAGGCCTTTCTGAGGGGCTGAGGTGGAGGGATGAAAAGCCATCTACAGAGAGCAGCACCCATTAAACTAGTGAAGGAAGGCTAGTGGGTAGAACACAGTGAGCGAAAAGGGTACCAGATTAGATTGTAGGGTAATTAGGAACTTGCCAGTCATGGTTCAGAATTGGGATTGTATTCTGAGTCCAGTGGTAAGCTTCAAAGGGTATTAAGAGGTAAGTGACATGCTCTGGTTTCTATTTTAAGAGAATCATTGGCTGTTATATGAAAGAAGGTTTGGAGGAGGGTGGGGTAGAAGTTTGAAGACTGTTAGGGTAGTCAGAGGGAGATCGACGGCCTAGTGTCAGGTGATGTCAGTGGAGGTAGAGAGAGGGGGTAGATTCAAAATACTTTTTAGGGGCGCCTGGGTGGCTCAGTCGTTGGGCGTCTGCCTTCGGCTCAGGTCATGATCCCGGGGTCCCGGGATCGAGCCCCGCATCGGGCTCCCTGCCCCACGGGAAGCCTGCTTCTCCCTCTCCCTCTGCCCCTGCTTGTGTTCTCTCTCTCGCTGTGTCTCTCTGTCAAATAAATAAATAAAATCTTTAAAAAAAAAAAATCTCTAAAAAAAAAAAAAATACTTTTTAGAGGTAGACTCCACATATAATGATAACAAATTGGATGTGGGATTGAGGGGAAGGGACAAAGCTTAGATGATTCCTGGGTTTCTAGCTTGGGCACCTGAGTAGGTGGTGGCACCATATTCTAAGATAGAAGAGGCTGAAAGAAAATTAAGAGGTCTGTTTGGGATAGCTGGAGATGTGTATGAGTTGCCAGACTGTAAGGTCATGTAGGCGGCCAAATGGAATCTGGAGCTCAAAGGGTGGCCTGGGGCGAGAACTAGCAATTTTGAGAATCTTTAGCATGTAGGTGGTACTGGAGCTGTGAGAATGGGTACATTGACCTGGGACCTGGGGTAGGAAGGAAGAGTACAGGGAGAGCAAGAGCTCACCCATTCCGGGTCTTGAGAGAAGCTTGTATCTGCAGACTCAGAAGGAGACACCAGTGAGTTCTGAGGAAAAGCGAGAGTGTGATCTGAAAGGAGCTAAGAGAAGAGTTTTAAAGGGTGACGTGGAAGACTGCCAGAGAGGGTAGTCTGAACACACATTGATTTCCTCTCTCACCCAGAGCCCCCCCTCCCCAAAGCGTCTATCCAGAGCTTTCCTGAAAAGGCATAATCGTGCAAAGAGAATCATGTTGTTGATAGCATTTGGGACCAGGGAGGCAGATAGCTTAGTAGTAGCTGATTTTACGGGGCCTAGACTGACAGGCAGAAAAACCGTACCACACCAGTACCACATATGACAGAACCCCCACCCTGCTCCAGCCCCCACCCCTCCCCTGGCCGCCCCTGATGGCTCAGGATTTAGTGATGCTTGGCACCTCTGGAAGTGGCACAAAGGTGAGACTAAACACAGGAGTATTGTTTGATGGCTTTTTTAGGGTCCCCAGGTCCCTGCTCCTAGTTTGCAGAGCAGGTTATGAGCCTGCCTATATCACAACAGAAAATCTGGAATTTTCGTTCTCCAGAGAAGGCAAACAGCTTTCTAGCTTGAAAGGGCCCATGAAGCACCTAGTGTAGTGAGTGAAGAAAGACCCGGAATAAAGAGAGTACCCTGGGAGCTTCCAGAGAGAGAGAACAGGTCTCATACAGAGGATAAGGAATATGGGCAGCACCACACTTCTCAGGAACGGTGAACCAGATACTGGAAAGGAGAGGACAATGCAACAGTGCCTTTGGAAGTCTCCAGAAAATGATTTCTAACCTAGAATCCTGCCCCAAATGATCAGTCACGTGTAAAAGTAAACCTTCAGCCTATCCAGGAAGGCAGGGAGTCGGGATGATGGTAAAGGGAGATCCACATGGCAGACTGAGAGACAGACCCATCCAGGTTGGAGCTTCAAGAGTGCTGTCTCCAAGAAGAGAAAGTTAGAAAAATAGCTAGTGGATTTCAGTGTCCAGTATATTTATAGAGATTCAGGTATTTGAGAGAGGGTTTGCAAGTGAATTATGATAAAGTAAGCAAACAAAAACAAGATGGTTACTAAGAAAATCTAAGCGTGCAAGAAGGAAAAGTGGTCATGGTACATGGCTTGGCTTGAATAATGTTCACCTGGATAGATGATGTGAAAACAGAACGCTGATCTAACCAAGTTAATAGTGGAACTGTGTGGGGAAGATGAGGGATGGGGTATGTGTGTGGCTAGGGGGATTGGGGAGTGAAAGAAGCTTCCACAGGAAAGCTGAGATAATGCTTAAATGTGGAAATTAAGAATTAGCTTTGTACAGGGGTGTTTGGAGATAGAAGGTAGAAACAAAAAGTTAAGTGAGTTGGAAGGATTTCCTCCTGGGAGTGGTGGGCGAAGGGAGTGGAAGGGAATGCTGATTTTGTTAATCAGACATAAAACATTATTTGACTCTTTTAAGTTGTATGTATGTAGGTTCAATTAAAAAACCCAAACAAGGCGCCTGGCTGGCTCAGTCGGTGGGGCATGTGACTTTGGATCTTAGGGTTGTGAGTTCGAGCCTCATGTTAGGTGTAGAGATTACTTAAAATCTTAAAGAAACAAACCAGAGTAATACAGAGATTTAGATATCAAATAACAAGGATTGTTTTAATATGGATTATTTTGGTGTATGTACTTCAGGAAATGCAAAGGTGCAAAATGTTATTTGGGCAATGTATTTTTCAGAGCATTTAAGTGCATGAAAGTGTATGAAAGTGTAATGAAGGCCTGGAGCAACTTGTGATTTAGAATTAGTTTTCAGGAAAATATATGAATCACAGAGGTAGGTAACTGATACATTGCGCTCTTACTGACATCTGTTATTATAAGCATCCTGCCAAGTTCTGTTGGCCATACAAGGAAACACAAGGTGTGGTTTGGGGGGATGGTGTCAAAAAGTCTATAATCCAATCAGAGAAGTAAAACAGGAACTCATGGAGACTTAACTGGTCCTGAAGAATGAATAGTGAGTCCTAATATCGTCACAAACAGTATTGTAGGATTTTAAAGGGGAGGGATTATGAAAGATAGACTCAGACAAAAGCATTACGTATTTTCTTTTTTTTTTTTTTAAGATTTTATTTATTTATTTGAGACAGAGAGAATGAGAGACAGAGAGCATGAGAGGGAGGAGGGTCAGAGGGAGAAGCAGACTCCCTGCCGAGCAGGGAGCCCGATGCGGGACTCGATCCCGGGACTCCAGGATCATGACCTGAGCCGAAGGCAGTCGCTTAACCAACTGAGCCACTCAGGCGCCCACATTATGTATTTTCATCTTCATTATTTATTACTTTGGAAGAAGTGGACTTCTCAAATCTAGCAAACAGCAGATATTGAGAGAAAACTACTCCAGGGTTACCACAGCTACAGTTAGTCTCCAAATTGCTGGAAAACCAGCAGTTTCCTCTCGGACTCATCACATCTGCAAGGGTCATCCCATATCAGCAGCAAATTTTAGGGATAAAATTGTGTTCATTTAAGGGGTTAGATTTATAGAAAGGGCTCGAGGCTTCATTTATTTTGAGGAGGTAGTCAAGCAATTTTCTGCTTCCGTTTATTTAATGTCTTATTTATTTGGCTGGTTTTATTTACATTTGTGTAACTGATGGTAATTAATACACACAGCTCTTTTGTACGTAGGACCATATGGCACTAAGCCTTTGGAGCTGGCTTCTGCCTGGGGGTTTCATAAAGCCTTAGGAGTCATAATTTGATCATTTATGTGCCAGACGTATTTTTTATTGTCCTTATTGGTTTGTCCATCATTTCGCCTCTTCCGGGTTTCACCTGCAAAGCCTATACCTGTGGGCATACGGTTCCTTCCCTGAGATTCCCCAAGTTTGTCAGTGTTCCTATAAAAGACACCTTGACAGCTTGTGATTTCACACAAACTCTACATCCTTTTGTATCTCCACATGTGGCGAAAGTTATTCTGTACACCAGCGTGGCCCAAATGTGTGCCTGTCCTTCTCAACTAATGGCCATTCCATTATATAGAACAATAAGAGGCAAGAGAGAAATATTAAAATTACACTTAGTGACTTAGTGTTTTGTATTCCCTATCTTTGTGAATTTATATCCACCTAGAAATTGGCCACATCCCCTCAAATGATTTATTAATTAACTAAATGAAATATTAGTTCAACATCTTAAAGTTAATAACGATTTTAGGGATTACATTTAAGCTGACATAGTATGGAGAAACACAGTTCCTAATGGCATATTGAGTTTTTCAGGGAGAGGACGTTTTAATAATTTTACCCAGATAGATCTGGAGAATAATTAGGTTTACATTTACAGTTATCTCAAATGTCAAAGAACAATTATGAAGACATAATTCAATTTATTGAATGTACAGTTTTTACAATGTCATCATTTTAAAGGTTGAAGCTTGTCCAACCAATAAAACCAGTAAAGGAAATTTAAGAAATTTAAACTAATTAGGCTTTTCACGAGAATATAAACCATAAACATTACCTAACATAAAAAGTTGTGCATAAAGGGACAAGACATGGCTATTTTTCACCAAACTTATCAAACCAATTTAATTTGTCTCAGGATTTACCTAAACTAGGACTGTCATAAAATTTTTCCTTACTTACCATGTATTTTAAAAGTCTTTATTGGTACATTTTTGTGACTGCCATTTGTCCTGAGGCAGAGGAACTGGCTCAGGTACAGGAAAGTAGCCTTCCTCTGTTGTAGGAGGTGGAAGAAGAGGAGCAAGTAGGGAAATCTAAAGGTTTGGTGGCTGGAGATGGAGGCTTCTCTTGTCTCAGGGAAGAGGGGAGGCCAGCAGGTGAGAGAGGGGAGCAGGGGTGTGCAGGAGTGCGTGGGCTGTGGTGGAGGCAAGAAGCGCCATCGGGAAAATGGCGGAGCAGCCGCTCTGCAGCCCTGGGAGCTGGTTGTCGTGTATTTAGTGAGAAGCACCTCTCGCCGGGGCGCCTTCCCCCAGGAGTGCCGGGGGCAGATGTGGAGTAGGCACCTGATAGCGTTCATCCGGCCTGGAGGTTCTGCTCGTTAGTGCCATGGAGGGAGAGTTGGGGAGACTTGCAAAAAAGTAATGATAATGTTGGTCCATGTCACTCAGGCTGGCCTCGGGAGACTGTCGCCAGAAAGGGTGAAGGCAGTATGTGATGGGCGAGGTCCTGGGAGGCCAGGTGTGCAGAGGGTTGGGGGTGGGGTCTGAAGGCACCAGGGATGGTGCCAAGAACTGGGGTCAAGAGAAGAGTGAGAACCAAGAACAGAAGTCCTGAGGGGACGGGGGTTGGGGGATGTTTCCAGAGTGCCCCAGGTGAGGGCAGAGAAGAGGCAGGGATGGTGAAGCCAGGTGGCATTTCCTCAGGGGGAGAGGTGGCGGTCTTCAGGCAGTAATGGGGCGCGGGTCAGCCCCTCCTGCCCCACTGCTCGTCGGGGCTCCAGACCCAAGCAGCCTTTGCCCCAGAGGCCAGCAGAGGCGGCAGGCTGCAGGCAGGGCCAGGTGCCGACGGCACCGTCGGAGGAGAGCGTGAGGCCGTGGCAAGATGTGTTCCTGCGGCGGCATGCTGGAAGCTGGGCAGGGGCCACGGGGGAGCGACGCAGGCCGCCCGGACTCAGGGGTTAGCCCTCGGCGTCTCTTCCGGGGAGCTGGGGACCAGGCGGTCCTGACCGCAGGGTCCTGACCTGGTGCATCTTGTGCCACTTGGTCACTGGTGTACAGGTAGGGAAGACACTGTGACGCTGATCAGCTTTGCTGGGTGTCACTGAGTCCTTCAGTTCTGTCAACAAACAGCTGGTGGCCACCTCTGTGAGCCAGGCCCCTGCAGCCATTGGCCTAGGCGAGGATGAGGCGGAGCCGGCACCTGGGCTTTTCACCCCAGGCCTCCCAACAGCCGGGCACCGCCTGCCCTGTCCCCCTGCACACAGCCTGCAGTGACAGCGGTGTGTCTTTGTAAGACTTAGGGAGGTTGTGGAAGAAGGGCCTCTGCTGTTTAAAAAGAGAGAATCATGTTGTAATAGAATCCCTGCAGACTCCTAAGATGAAGACCTCATTCTCACCGTGCCCAGGTTCCTTTTGCAGAACTAACGCTCCGTGTGTCTTGTTTGGCTCTCTCCAACCGCCTGCAGAGTTTGGCGTGTACTGTAGCCACTGTCGGAACGAGGTCCGTGGCGCGCAGTGTGCCGTCTGCAAAGGCTTCACGTTCCAGTGTGCCATCTGCCACGTGGCCGTACGCGGGTCGTCCAATTTCTGCCTGACCTGCGGGCATGGTGGGCACACCAGCCACATGATGGAGTGGTTTCGGACCCAGGAGGTGTGTCCCACCGGGTGTGGATGTCACTGCCTGCTTGAAAGCACATTCTGAACTCACAGACCATGGGAGTTGTCGCAAATCCCACAGGATTCCGTACGTGTTGGATGACAAGGTCTCCCACCAGGAGGGAGGCTCCAGAAAGCCATTCTTGAATAGACTGGAGCGTGTTCCCCTCAAGACTGCCACCGCACCAGCTGTTGATGAGCTTTTGCTTCTCTTCTGTTTGGCTCTTGATGGCGTGGATGTCACCGGGAAGGAGGAGAGCAGACTTGCAGAGCCACATAGCCAGGTGGAAATCTTCTTGAAGAAAAGCACCTGCCTCCAGAGCCGTATTTACCTTCAGGGTGTTAACCTTAAACCACTGAACAGCATCCTTTCTGATGCCATTTCAGACCAAGGTCGGATACAAAGGACAGTCTCCTGAGCCGAAGGACAGTGGACGTTAACTTAGTTGATAAGTAGGTCTATGATATAAGTTGGTACATTTAAATGAACTGATGGATAGTGGCCTTTTAAAAATGATATTTAAAGTATAAATACATGATGTACTTAAGGACTCTAAAGATGTATCTTACGTTTTTTATTTCTCTTCAAGCTGCTGTCCCTTGGCTAATAAAAGTCAGGTAATTGTTTGGAAAAAAAAAAAGAAAGAGAAGGTTGAACAGTGTTTTAGTGAAATTGTTTTTATTCTCTTTCTAATTGAAGTTAACTCTTTGGGATAGGACCAGAGTCACTGCTCAGATTTTCAAAGGAAATGCTGATTTACTCTTGTCATCTGATGGGAGAAAATAGAATTTGATATTTTAAGTTTCTTTCCAACTCCAGGAGTCTTTTTTTTTTTTAAGATTTATTTATCTTAGAGCGTGGGGCAGGGTGGGTGGGGAGGAGGAAGAGGGAGAGAGAATCTTTTTTTTTTTTTAAAGATTTTATTTATTCATAAGAGACAGAGAGAGAGAGAGGCAGAGGGAGAAGCAGGCTCCCTGCTGAGCAGGGAGCCCGATGCGGGACTCGATCCCAGGACCCTGGGATCACGACCTGAGCTGAAGGCAGACGCTTAACCATCTGAGCCACCCAGGCATCCAGAGGGAGAGAGAATCTTAAGCAGACTCTGCGCTGAGTGCAGAGCCTGATGTGGAGCTCAATCCCATGACCCTGAGATCATGACCTGAGCCGAAACCAAGAGTTGGATGTTCAACTGGCTGCACCCCCCAGGCGCCCCAACACTAAGAGTCTTTTAATCATTTCATTTAGCAAAAGGAAAATGAGATGGCTTCACAGCATGATATTTGAGTCTCCCATGCTACTGCACAGGTTGGTTGAGTTCTGGTAAGTTCCTTCCACTCTTCATTTGGGCTCCCTAACAGACTTTCCATTTTTTGTTTATCTGCATTCCAAGTGGCTGTGATTCAGATGCCCACCTGTTTTATTCTTCAGAATGATTTTCAACTCTTCGATATTATATGTGCCAGGAACGAGAAATCTTTTTGATATTTCTACTGGAATATGTTTTTGTTCCTTAGAATTTCATAATTCCAAATTGATTAACTTAAGAAATATAAGTACATGTCTCAAAATGTGTTATATATCACTGTTTTAAGCTACAGGTCAGGACCCAGTAATGGATTGTGAAATCAATTTAGTATATAAAAACCAGCATTACAGAAATGAAATAGAGTGGTGAATATCATTTTGTGTAACCAGTTTATGAGTGTATATGCACACATGCATACATGTATAATGGATCACAATGTAAATTCATTTCTTACTGAGGATTGTGGGGTCAAGACCCATCCATTACCTACGAGTGACTCATTTTAGACCTAAAGACACCTGCAGACTGAAAGGGAATGGAGAAACATTTGTCATGCAAATGAATGTCAAAAGAAAGAAGTAGCAATATTTATATTGGACAAACTAGACTTTAAAACAAAGATTGTAACAAGAGACAAAGAAGGGCACTATATGGGACGCCTGGGTGGCTCAGTTGGTTGAGCGACTGACTCTTGATTTCGGCTCACATCATGATCTCAGGGTTGAGCCCTGCATTGGGCTCCATGCTGAGCATGGAGTCCACTTGGGATTCCCTCTTTCCATCTCCCTCTCCCCCTCCCCCTCCTCCCTTCTCTCAAATAAATAAATCTCAAAAAAAAAAAAGAAGGGCATGGGGCGCCTGGGTGGCTCAATTGGTTAAGCGTCTGCTTTCAGCTCAGGTCATGATCCCAGGGCCCTGAGATCGAGCCCCGCATCGGGCTCCCTGCTCAGCAGGGAGCCTGCTTCTCCCTCTGCCTGCCACTCTATCTGTGCTCTCTATCTCTCTGTCAAATAAATAAATAAAATCTTAAAAAAAAGGCACTACATAATAACAAAGGGGACAATCCAACAAGAAGGTATAACAATTGTAAATATGTATACACCTAACATGGGAGCACTCAGATACATAAAACAGTAATAACAAACATAAAGGAACTAATCTATGATGATAATACAATAATAGTAGGGGACTTTAACACCCCTGCTATATCAATGAGGACAGGTGACCTAAACAGAAAATCAACAAGGAAACAATGGCTTAGTAACACACTGGACCAGATGGACTTAACAGATATATTCAGAACATTTCATCCTGAAACAACAGAATGCACATTCTTTTCAAGTGCACATGGAACATTCTCCAGAATAGATCACATATGAGGCCACAAAACAGGCCTCAACAAATACAAGAAGATTGAAATCATATCATGCATCTTTTCTGACCACAGAACTATGAAACGAGAAGTCAACCACAAGAAAAATATCTGCAAAGACCAAAAATACATGGAGGTTAAATAAGATGCTACTAAACAATGGATGGGTCCACCAGGAAATTAAAGAAGAAATTAAAAAAATACATGAAAACACACTTGCCCAAAACTTTTGGGATGCAGCAAAAGTGGTCCTAAGAGGGAAATATATAGCAATACAGGCCTATCTCAAGGACCAAGAAAAATCTTAAATAAACAACCTAACCTTACAACTAAACAAGCTAGAAAACAACCTAAAACAAGGCCTAAAGCCAGCAGAAGGAAGGAAACAGAGCAGAAATGATACAGAAACTAAAAAAAAAAAACAACAAAAAAACGGATTGATGAAACCAGGAGCCTGGTTCTTTGAAAAAATTAATAAAAAAGGGACACCTGGGTGGCTCAGTCGTTAAGTGTCTGCCTTTGGCTCAGGTCATGATCTCAGGGTCCTGGGATCGAGCCCCGCATCCAGCTCCCTGCTCTGCAGGAAGCCTGCTTCTCCCTTTCCCACTCCCCCTGCTTGTGTTCCCTCTCTCGCTGTGTCTCTCTCTGTCAAATAAATAAATAAAATCTTAAAAAAAAGAAAAAGTTAATAAAATTGATAAACCTCTAGCCAGACTTACCAAAAAGAAAAAAGAAAGGACCCAAATAAATAAAATCAAAATTAGAAAGGAGAAAGAACAACGAATACCACAGAAGTACAATTAGAAGAGAATATTATGAAAAGCTGTATGCCAACAAATTGGACAACCAAGAAGAAATGGGTAAATTCCTAGAAACATATAAATTACCAAAACTGTAACAGGAAGAAAAAGAAAACAGACTGATAACTAGCAAAGAAATTGAATCGGTAATCAAAAAACTCCAGCAAACAAAAGTCCTGGACCAAGTGGCTTCACAGGCAAATTCTACCAAACATTTAAAGAAGAGTTAATACCTACTCCTCAAAGTATTCCAAAAAATAGAAAAGGAAGAAAAATTTCCAAATTCATTCAATGAGGACAGCATTATCCTGATCCCAAAACTAGATAAAGACACCACTAAAAAAGAGAACTACAGGCCAATATTCCTGAGGAATATAGATGTAAAAATTCTCAATAAAATACTAGCAAACCAAATCCAACAATACATTTAAAAAATCATTCACCACGATCAAGTGAGATTTATTCATGGCTTGCGAGAGTGGTTCAGTATTTGCATATCAATGTGATATACCACACTAATAAAGTATAAGAACCATGTGATCATTTCAGTAGATGCAGAAAAAGCATTTGACAAAGTACAACATCCATTCATGATAAAAACCCTCAATAAAGTTAATTTTGAGGGATCATACCTCAAAATTATAAAAAGGTAAAGGCCATATATGAAAAACCCACAATTAATATCCTAAATGGGGGGAAACTGAGAGCTTCTCCTCTATGGTCAGGAAAAGACAGGGATGTCCACTCTCACCACTTTTATTCAACATAGTACTAGAAGTCCTAGTGACAGCAATCAGACAACAAAAATAAAAGGCATCCAAATCAACAAGAAAGAAGTAAAATTTTCACTATTCGCAGATGCCATGATACTATATATAGATAACCCTAAAGACCCCACCAAAAAAACTGCTAGAACTGATAAATGAATTCAGTAGTCTCAGGATACAAAATCAACATATAGAAATCTGTTGCATTTCTATACACCAGCAATGAAGCAGCAGAAAGCAAAATTAAGGAATCGATCCCATTTACAATTACACCAAAAACAAAAAGATACCTGGGAATATACCTAATCAATGAGGTGAAATACCTATACTCTGAAGACAATAAAATACTGATGAAAGAAATTCAAGACACTCTTTCTTGTGGCACCTCAGAGGTGGTAGGCTGCTTCAGGATGAAGCTGAACATCTCTTTCCCAGCTTCTGGCTGCAAGAAACTCATTGAAGTGGATGATGAACGCAAACTTCATACATTTTATGAGAAGTGTATGGCCACAGAAGTTGCTGCTGATGCTCTGGGTGAAGAATGGAAGGGTTACGTGGTCCAAATCAATGGTGGCAGTGACAAACAAGTCTTCCCCATGAAACAGGGTGTCCTGACCCATGGCCGCGTCTGCCTGCTGCTGATTAAGGAGCATTCCTGCTACAGACCAAGGAGGACTGGAGAAAGAAGGGGCAAATCTGTTTGGGGTTGCATTGTGGATGCCAATCTCAGCGTTCTCAACTTGGTCATTGTAGAAAAAAGGGGAGAAGGGTACTCCTGGACTCACTGATAACTACTGTGCCTCGTTGCCTGGGACCCAGGAGAGCCAGCAGAATCCGCAAACTTTCAGTCTCTCTAAAGAAGATGATGTCCACAAGTATGTTATGAGAAAGCCCCTGAACAAAGAAGGTAAGAAACCTAGAACCAAAGAGCACAAGATTCAGCATCTTGTTACTCCACATGTCCTCCCACACAAACATCAGCATATTGCTTTGAAGAAACAGCATACTAAGAAAAATAAGGAAGAGGCTGCAGGATATGCTAACCGTTTGGCCAAGCGAATGAAGGAGGCCAAAGAAAAATCCTAGGAATAGACTGCCAAGAGACAGAGGCTGTCCTCTCTGAGAGCTTCTACCTCTAAGTCTGAGTCCAGTCAAAAATGAGATTTTTTAAGAGTAACAAATAAATGGGACATCAAAAAAAAAAAAAAAAAAAGAAAAGAAAAAAATTCAAGATGATGCAAAGAAATGGACAGGTATGGATTAGAATATTGTTAAAATGTCTATACTACTCAAAGCCATCTACACATTTAATGCAATCCCTATCAAAATACCAATAGCATTCTTCACAGAGCTAGAACAAACAATCCTAAAACTTGTATGGGACCCTAAATAGCCAAAGCAGTCTTGAAAAAGAAAAGCAAAGCTGGAGGCATCACAGTTCCTTCAAGTTATATCACAAATCTGTAGTAATCAAGACAGTATGGTACAGGCACAAAAATAGACACATAGATTAATGGAACAGAATAGAAAATCCGGAAATGAGTCCACAGTTATAGAGGCA